TTTCCAAGGCTGCGATGGTTCAAGCTTGACAAAACGTCGGGGAAGCCGGCGGGATTGTACCAAGATCGAACACTTCGACGCTGTCGCTGTGCGCCGCCATGTTGCCTTGGATTTCGTTTACTATTGGTGAGCCGCTAGCGACGATAGCACGTTCTTATTGGCTCTTGACTGCGGTTGACTGCGTGTCAACGCAACTGTGCGTACACGTTTGGCGCAAGCGCTCTTCGCAACGCAACGCGTCCGCTTGCCGCTACGGAACGCACCGCGCTCAAACGCGAATGTGCGTATGGGCCTTAAGCCACTCCCCGGCTCCAACACTTTCCGAAAGGGAGCCGACCACCCGAACAGCAACCCCAACGTGAACACACAGGGCAACTTCCAAAACGCTAAAGCCTAATCTTCATCTCCTACTTCCAAGCAAACCCTTCCCGGTTTTCTCCCCCCCCCCCCCCCCCCCTTCAAAGTTTACAAAAGAAAACCCTCACAGAAGCAAGAACTCTTTCATCCGATCACTGATAACAAAGGACGGCTGGCTTACACAATTTCCCCGCTCGCGAATTCGCGAATGCACAAAGTCTCCTTAATTAGCCTTCTAAACAATTCTTTTTCGTTACACAGAACGGAAGTTTCATCCCAAAGAGGAGAACAAAAATTACAAGAACTAACATGATTTGCCAACTCAGAATTCTGCGCCATATTCTTTACACACATTTTATGTTCCGCAAGACGGCCATTCAAACAACGCCCTGCCTGACCAACATAATCCAATCCGCAGTCAAAGGGGATCTTGTAGACCACCTCTGCAACATAGGAGACTGAGGGATCTCTGCCTTTTCCCGCAACATCCCTCACTTCTGAAGGTAAATGGGGTTAGCTTGCCTAAACGGAAGTCCGTCTTAAGAACCAGATTAACGTTTAATTTCTTGCCCAAGGCTTTTAGGCTACGAGAAAAACCATAAAAATCAGGGATCGCAGCAAAGGTTCTACCTTGAACCCTCTCAGCTGTCACCGATGCGCGTACAAGCAGTCTAGGTGCAGTAGAAACGATAAAATCTAAACTATAACCCGCCGACAGTAAACTTTAACTCCCGGGCCTCTTTCGAAATTGCTCCTCCCTTCCCCAGCCGACAGTAAAAGAGGGGGGGACGGCTCCAATATGTTTCGGGGGGGGGGGGGGGGGGGGGGTGTTCCAGTTCCAACAACACCTCCTAGAAGAGAAGGCCGTAGCGCTCTACTCATGAAGTCTCGAGGGAAGGCCATCGGGGGCGCGCGGCGAAGCGAAGGCAACGCGCGTGGATCGATCGTCGTAACGAGCTTTTAGTGACATAAGCGTGTCTTATTAGCTAAATTGAAAGCTGCACATAGCAACGGTTCTCGAAAACATTTCATTACACGGGCAAAATATTACAACACTAAGTGATCGGTATCAAATGGTACGAGGAAGGCGTATAAGAGAAAACATTGATTCACGCAATTATTGCTGCAGGAATGCATATTTTACGCAGATATACTTCGACAAAATGGCAAGACACGCAGTGATTCGACACAGCAAAACAGGTCACATTGAAAAATCAGGCAGATGTAGGCAACGCTGACACGGCTAGAGGAATGTCACTTACGATCATGTAAGCGATGTTATCGCGTGCAGTCACTGAATTCTTGCATCATACCCCGGCCACATGGTAAAAGTAATGTAATTTAGATCGAATGAAATTATGGGGCCGACAAATCACCTTGCGGCTATCATATAATCACTCAAAACAGCGAGCTGGTTAAATCCCGTATTATTTAATCAAAATATATTAACTTTTCCGTGTGGCAGGGGTACTAAACTTACTATTTACAGTCAACTAATTTAATTCTTCCTATGAGCTCGAGGTGCCTGAGAACAAAATATAACCTATTCTGTATACAATAATACTATTGCCTTAATACAGTTAAGATTCTAGTATAAACGCGGTAAAGGCAACAAAATAACATTAGTATAAATAAAATCATAAGCACAAACAACGCACTTTCAATAATCACACAAACTAGTTATTTACCTTCCAGTAAAAACTAGAATATTACCACGCATGATTATACATGTCGATGCAATAGCAAACGGATAATGACGAAGAACAAAAGTCTGTTCTATCACGATATAAAAGAAAATCGACTGCAGCACTTTACTTGCGTCTTACATGACCAAGAAAGCCCGTAAATAAGTTCTTCCTCACCTCTCGATCCTATCCATACGTCCCACACGATCCATCACGAAAAAATTTTAATACGAACTTCGAGAAGTCTCTCTCTGTCGAGAGAGGTCATCGGCCAGTGTCATCGTTGACTAGTTGCCACACACGTCAGTCAAACCGTACAGCAGGAATTGTTTCGCGAATCCACGTAAATGCCGTAGTATCAAGCGAACACACACAAAGAAAAAAAAAAAAAATCTACCCGAGACTGCGGTGATGACAAAAAAAAAGAAAACGATAGGTAGGACAAAACCGCACACACACACGCGTGCGCGAGAGCAGCACCAGCAGTGTGGGACGCGAGGCTTAACATTGTCGACCCATCTCTTCCTCGTGTGCGCTTTCTCCCAACGGCGATGAATGGATTTTTTCGGTTCCTTTCCCTTCTGAAATGTCTCAGCATACCTTTGCATGCCGTCAGCAGCTCACACGCAACGTAAATTTACCAGGATCAGAGCCCGTACGAGGGAAGATGTCGCATCGGAAATTCGGAGCCGGTTCATTCGAAAAGTGTGGGGAGCAGCGGGACTGCTCTTAGTCCCGCGGTTACGGGGATAATCAAAAATATAAATTTGGTATTTTCAACCTTGGTAACGCGTTGTATAATACGTTTATATTATATATATATAATAAATTGTGCAAGACTGCGCTTTGAAAACGTGTATTAATGTCGGATAAACGCGCACGAACATTAATGCGCCGATACGCGTCGACAGCGGCATTTTCTCACGTATTTGCGCCATGGCCTTCCTTCCTCCGCCATTGTGACGTGCCCACTCGGAGCGCTACGGCCTTCTCTTCTAGGAGGTGTTCGTTCCAGCCCAGAAACCCTCCCCCTGGGTACGGCCCTGCCCAATACTTAGGTAGTTTTACGGCGATGATTTCCGCGCTCGCCTGCAAATGTTAGCTGCGCCCTCATCGCTCTCATGTTATATCACACTACAATACGTTTGGTTTTTTCTTTTCGTTGCGGCCGCTATGCAGGTCGTTCACTGGGACGTTTTACGGCGGTCGTGACAAATCGAACCAGTTGAATTTGACTCGAGGTTGGGAGATGTTTTATTGACTATTAGGAGTGCACGGAGCACATCACGCTCCATTTTGAGGGGGTCCAGCCACCGCCGCGACCAACGGCCAAAATGCGTCGTTTTCGCAGTTCGGCGACCGTCGGAAATCAAAGAGAATTGTTGACCGATTCCTGTTATCGTAAAACTATCTGTCTGTAGCGCATCCAGGGCTTACCGGTGAAAGGTAACCCCCGCTGAAGAAAAGCCAGCCCGAATGCGGCAGCCAACCACGCTGCAAGCGCCCATCTCGTAGGCGGCGGAAATTAGTGTCCCGACGACGCGAGGCCTTCGTTTTCTGCGTTGCGATTGCGGCGATTGCCCTGATCGTCCCGTGCACAGGTCCCATGTACTAGCAGCGGTGTGCCGTCTGCTCGGGATCCGCCTCAACCACTTGTGTGCTTGCTTGCTTGCTTCACTCTAGCCTTCGATCTGATAAAACTTACCGGACGGAGCGCGCGCAAGCCTGCAAGGAATCCTACTAGAATCACCCATCCATCTCGCGAGTGACTTGTCACGTGCACCAATTACCAGAGAGATATACGGTCAGGTTGGCCACAAAATCGTTTAAACTTTTTATGACTAGGCTTCAGAAATATTTCAACGTGCCCCCTCCTATTATTTAGACTCCACACTCTAAAAAAAAAGGGGTGTAGTACTTACGCCCAGTGGGGTGTATGTGACTTGTCCCATATACGACACCCCCAGGGGTATATATGCGACACCCCAAAAAAGGGTGCATACATGCACCTCATTTTGAGGTGCACATGTGCACCTCAGCGGGTGCATAAGACACACCCCACCCCGGGGTGTACATATACTCCGTTTCTCACTTACTGGGAATACTGATACACCCCATTTTTGGGTGTACATATATTCCGTTTCTCACTTGCTGGGAATACTGATACACCCCATTCTTAGGTGTACATGTATTCCGTTTCTCACTTACTGGGAATACCGAAACACCCCATTCTTAGGTGTACATATATTCCGTTCCTCACTTACTGGGAATACTGATACACCCCTCTTTTAGGTGCACATATATTCAGTTTATCACTTACTGGGAATACTCATACACCCCATTCTTAGGTGTACATATATTCCATTTCTCACTTACTGGGAATACTGATACGCCCCATCCTTAGGTGCACAGATATTCCGTTTCTCACTTACTGGGAATGCAGTTACATCCCATTCTTAGGTGTACTTATATACCGTTTTCCACACCCTTCTCACTTACTGGGAACCGATAAACCCCACTCATAGGTGTACATGTGCGAAGTCAACAAAACTAACACTAGAACATTTTCCATCAAATTGACAGGAAATGTCTTTGCAGCTCTTTTCCAAGCTTTTAACCGTCAAACGACGGTGTTTTGTGTCATTTTCATGTCCCATTTGTCAACCCGAAAACAATTAGGCTGCCAATCCCACATTCTATCGTCATTTCATTATATGGCCTGGCATCATTTTGACGTCCTAACTGTCAACCTGAAATACAATTGAGAGCTTTTGTGTTACTCCTGCGAATATAACATTGTCAGGATCATGCAAAATTTTATAAAATAAGCTACGAAAATTGGTATCTGTTCCTACACATTTATTGCTCAGAAACACTGGGTGAAACATATACTACAAAAATACACATGGAATGCATGCACCAGAAATGTCGCTTGTTTTTTTTTTCTTCTTCTTTTTGCATGTCTTGTCTTTTAGTCTTCTGCCTTGGGTGTTGACCACCAAAAAGAGCCATGGAGCATTCCTGAAAAGCAAAACCCAGTTGCATACCATGATTAGATACATATAGGACACTGTCAAGGCCCCACACCTTACTTAATGAGCATTACGAAAAACCAGGAACTTAGCCAACTTCATAAATATTTTGCACACCACTGAAGAATAGTGGGGTGGAAAGTTTACCACTTTAGATACAGATGCAAGGCTGGAAAACCGAAAACACAGATAAAAAGCATGTGTTTTCAATATACTTAAACAACTGATTTTGGCGGTTTTCAACAATGCCAGCCTGTTTCTTATTGCAACTGTGTTTATTTGTTACTAATAAAATGCACAATGAGCCGAAAAATGCCATAAGCAACCTTGTACTCAGTGGCGCCTAACCAGATAAACGAATGCCAACATCAGAGGTGTCCTAATGCAAGCTTCCATTAACAAATTTTGGTCCATCTAAAACAGTGCTCTCAAACACATTTGAGTGTAGAGGCCAGATAGCCCACCCCCAAAAGATCGAGGGCTTCTGTAAGGCATGGGGGTCAGGAAATTTGTTAAAGGGACCTTGCGCTCTCCACATTTTGTAACTTGCAATCTTGACAGTGACATTTTTAGCCGTGATTCATTTGTAGTGCTCCCCTTATCCCTTTCCTGATGCAATTACAAGAATTAAAGTGGTACTGCCGCCAACATACTGGCATTTTGTAAGAGGACAAGAGAAGAAGTACACTGTTGTTGCCGTTGCTTATTTCACTCAGGATATATTCAAGCTCAACATGTCTCGAAAGAATGCCTTTTGCTTTTCTGGGAATTTCTGATAGCACCAGTCTGAGCGAATGCTTGTATTTTGAGGGCGAGAATCCAGAGCTCATGAATTTATCTTTGGTGGTTGCTTCTGACAAGCGAGAGTTCATGCAGTTGAAGTGAATCCTTGGGCAAAGAGCTCGTGTTTGCAGCCTACCAGCGGAATTGTCGTGCAGGTGCTAAATACTAAAAAAAAGACGGGAAGGAAAAATAGAGACTAAACGCCTAAAAAATAAAAACGAAACTACATTAACTATGTGGATATGTTACAAGAGCATAGCTACGTTTCCAGCGTAAATGAATAGACCGATCCCACCAAGCGTTCCACGCATGCGTGACGCCGCCATAACTGTAATTCGTAGGAGGCAGACGCCAGTTCACGCGACAGCTCATGCTGCCTCGTGGTCTACTCGCGCAAACCTCCAGCATGGTTGTCGCGCGTGTAGAAAGACTACAGCTCCCACGACGCATATCGGCAGCGGTGGCGTACTCAAACTAGCTGGTGAGATCGGTCTATTAGCGACATATTTTAATGCATGCCATTTGTAATGCTCGTATGAGAACGGGAGCTTGCAGCTGGTTTCCTGTGGGCCGTGTTCAAGCAAGTCGCGAGCTGCGTCTTCAAGCACTGAGCAGATTAATTTTACCCAGTTATTACCTGCCAGTGCATCATAATCTGTACAATGGTGAATATATTCCGAGACACTACTTGCTAGCAGCACAGGCTAAGGCAGTGCCCGAAGAGGGGAAAGGGCAAGCGCTAGAAAGGCGGGTGAGGAGAGTAACCTCCTCTCCTATCTAACATTCGTAGTGCTTTCCCCCTCTACCCCATCCCTGCCCTCCCCTCCCATATGCCTTCCTAGCGCTCGCCTTTTCTCTCTTCGCATGGCGTTGCATTCACCTGCACTACACACAACTAGTGACACGGAGTATAATTGAAGGACGGTACACTCACAGATGTCAAAGCACTTGAAGAGTTCGCAACTTCGGTGCAATGCCACTGGTTGCACTTTTGTATCGCACTTCAGATGGGTTGATTTGCCCGAAGTACCTGGAAAATAATAAGAATGATAGAATAAATTAATGTGCCATAAACCAGGGCTGGGCAGACACACTCCAAAAAGTATTCGGGAATACTGAGATACATCTGCTTTAAGGCCAAAAATACAGATACTGAGATACATTGTCTTTTATGCAATGGTATATCCCCGAGTCACTTCTGCGAAACTGGTGAAAAAGTATTCAGGAATACAGATACAATGTGTAGTTGTATCTGTATTGTAGAGGGTGTAGTTCGTGAGGAATATGTACGGTCAGTAGCGTTCCAACTTGTTTTCGAGTCAGGAAGGGGGGGGGGGGGGGGGGAGTGCTCTTGGTATCCCTTGGGCGCCGCCGGCCAGTCTTTAACCTGCCCAGTGGCGGCTGTTTTAGGGGAGTGGCGGGGGGGGGGGGGGGGACAACACATGCCTCGCGCCCTCCTTGCCCCCCCCCCCCCCCCCCTCCCCGGTTGGTACGCCCATGTGAATGGTATCTATGCTTTGCTACTTTTTTGTGCCATTTTATATGCGGTCCTTCTTACTTCAAACTCTTTATTTATCATTAATGCCGCTAAAGAAAACATGTCGCCCCGTTGAATCAAATGGTTACAAAATGGTAAAGACTGCGTACCATGCTTGACGAAAGGCGTCTGCCAAAATTAAACCTGTTTTTCCATGAGGGCAGCCTGTGCATCAGAGATTTGAGTCATCAGTACATGTAATCTAACCAAGTACCAAGCCTAATCACACAATATAAGCCTAGCAGTCTGACAAGTAAAGAAGAAAAAAAAAAACAGGGTCCACCGGATAGTCAATTGCTCACCTTGCCAGACGGTGCCTCGGGACTATGGCGGCATCTGCTAGGTGCAGAGCTTCTAGTCTGTGCATCAGAGAATAGGCATTAGCAAACATGATCTATCCAAGCACCAAGCCTAGTTTCACAAGATACGCTAACAACCTGAGAAAAAGAAAAACGGTCTGCAGCATAGTTGATTGCTTACCTTGCCAGACAGAGCCTCGGGACTATGGTAGCGTCAGTGGTACAAGCAGAGCCTCTCGCCTGTGAATTAGATTACTCATTAGTATACGTGATCTAGACAAGCGCCTAGCCTAGTCACACAATTTTACTTAGCAGCCTGACAAGTAAAGAAGAAGAAAAAAAAATAGGGTCCGCAGGGTAGTGAATTGCATACCTTGCCAGAACGTGCCTCGGGACAATGATGGCATCACTGCTAGGTGCAAATAGTCATTAGTAAACGTGACCTAGCTAGGCACCAAGCCCAATTTCAAAATACATGCATTACAAACTAAAAAAAACAGTGCAGGATAGTTGGTTGCTTACCTACCCAGAAAGGGCATCGGGACTATGGTAGCGACTGTGCTACAAGCAGAGCCTCTCGCCTGTGCAGTAGAGAGGAAAGTCATTAGTACACGTGATCTAAGCAAGCACTTAGCCTAATTTCACAATATATGCTTAACAACCTGACAAGAAAACAAAAATCAGCAGGCTAGTTGATCGCTTACCTTGCCAGACGGTGCCTCGAGACTATGGCGACATCTGTGCTAGCAGCAGAGCTTCACTCCTGTGCGTTAGAGATTCGAGTCATTAGTACACGTGATCTAACCAAGCATCTTATGTTATCTCACACTTCACAGGTGCCTGAGATGACTTGCATACTACAAGCACAAGGAGACACTCGCGGTTTTGAACCATTAACACTGCGACACTTAATTGTTGCTGTAGTGTGACAAAGTGTATGCTTCACAAATGAAAAATGCAATAAAACGTGTAGTCTAATTTTACAAATTTTGCCCAAGAAAGAGTCTGACAAGTAGGGTACCAACATGACAATTCAAAGTTAGCCAAACTCGAGCTTCGCAAAAGTTAGCAACCGCGGGTACAGCCACTACACATGTTTCCGAATAGAGCTCTCAAAGTAACGCCAAACTGAGCACCACACACACCGAAGCTAGTGAATGCTGTCCTAGAGTTCCTGCATAGGCTCTCTACGGGAGTCAGAGTTGCGCGTCTGTTATCTACACGCTGACACGCCGCTATTCGCCTAGATCCGATCATGTGAGGAGCAAAATCCAAATACTGTGCAGGAAAGCCGCCGATACGGCCGTTTCGCCGACGTTGCAATCTCCTCAGCGTACGTTCCCCTGCTTTTGTCTCCTCCTCCTTTCCTGTTTTTCAGGAAAGGAGAAGGAGCACGTTGCTATTCGCCCAATCCAGTGAGATGAGGAGCAGAATTTCGTCCCCTGCAGGAAAGCCGGTGCTCCGGGGTGAACGCGCAGCTCTGGCTCGGCAGGTTGGGCTATAAACAGCCCAATTGGGCTACTCAGTTTTGTAATAGGCAGGAAACTCTGGTGGTTGGCTATTAAGCTATTTCATACCCGATATTCAACAATGTTCAAAGCCTTAAACATGATATTTCTGCGCCGGGTAGAGAAAAACAATCAACTCAAGAGGTTAGGAAAGGAAAATATCCAAATCACAAGCGTGCAAATACAATACGTGGACCCTCAGTGGTGTTGGTTGCGGAGGTGCAATATCGTTTTTCCGAAGTTTTTTTGACACGATTTAATACCGCAGGCAGGGGTGGAGGCACGTGTTTCCAGAAGGAGGGAGGAAGAGGAGTGGGGGCAGCTTAACAGATGTTTGAGAACCCCTTTCTTTCGCTGCACTAAAATATACATGGGGACGCTTTATCCTCCTATTGCCTTCTTCTGTAAATAATTGTATTATGTCATGGATCATGTTACCCGTGTTCCAAAGAGATGTAAATACGTTGTATGAAATTTTATGTGTTGGGCTATTTTTATAGCCCGACATTTGGCTATTCTTGGGCACAATATCAGGAAATTTTGACGGGTTAATCTGCAAATACCTGGCAACCCTGCTCTGGCTACCGTAGGGGGCCTACGCAGGAACTCCATGCTGTCCTAGAGTTCCTGCAGAGGCAGCCTACGGGAGTCAGGAGTTGCGCGTTCATCCCAGTAGCTCCGACTTTCCTGCACTTCAAGTCTGCTCCTCACGTGACTGAATTCGGGGAATAGCGGCCGCCGCGCTCTACCTCCTCATTTCCTGGAAAGCAGGACAGGAGGAGGCAAAAGCGGGAGCATGCACACCGATGCGCTTGCACCGTCGGTGAAGTCGCCGTAACGGTGGCTTTCTTGCACGGCATTTGGAGTCTGCTCCTCACGTGATCGGATATCGGCAAATAGCGGCGCGGCGGCACGTGGAAACCAGACGCGCAACTCTGGCTGGAGCCTATAATCTCAATGCTGCACTGGAGTACCAGTTCCTGTATAGGCTCCCTACGGGAGCCAGAGTTGCGCGTCTATTTTCTACGTGGCGCCGCGCCGCTATTTGCCGAGATCCGACCACGTACTGTGCAAGAAAGTAACGTTGCAGGCGCACCGCCGTACGCACCCCTGGTTTTGAGCGCGCCGCGCGCCTCGTCGGTTCGAGAGTCAATGGTTCCAGTACCCTCTCCCTCTTCGTAGTGGCCGAGCAGGGAGGGAATATGGTTTCGTTGTGTCGCCTCGGGGGCGGAAGATTACGCACGATGGGGACAAAGGCGAGTTTGGGGGAGCAGTATCTAGGTCACAGCGCCTCAATGGTTGAACAGGATGTAGCTGACGTTTTGGGTGTGGAACGGGTAAGAGAGGCCTTGCGCGCGCGTTGTTTTCTCGACACTTAGCCTAGTGTCGAGGTGGCAGCACATATTCGCCAAGAGGTCCAAAAGTCGCGTGAGGAGCTGGATCAACATGCCGTGCAGGAAAGACGGCGCTACGAAGATGAACGCGCAACTCTGACTCCCGTAGGGAACCTATAAAAGAACTGCCTTGTCCCGAAGCGCCACCTTATAGTTCCATCATCCCCACTGAAAATCGCATTGCATAACCATACGTGCGAGCGAAGCCGGTAACAAGCGCGAGCATGTTGCTCTGCAATCGAACTACGTTTCACCGACAGATCGTTTTATAGATACGCGATGATTCATCGCCAGAATGCTTCATCGACAGCACAAACAACCTTTTTTCTGTATGGAGCTGCCTGACACTGTTGCCACGAAGCGGATAGTACGTGTAGGATACACCCGCGACGAAATGTCCCTACAACGCTAAATCCGCGTAACGACTGTCGATGGAACGGTAGTGTCGACGAACGAGAGTCCATGTAACATCTGTCCTCAGAAAGTGTTTTTTGGCGAAACGATAGAGACCCGTTGCTCTGAATGACGCCAGCTCTACACGCAAGAATAATGTCTCGAAGCTGCGATGTCGTGCTCGTTTGTACACTCAGAGAACCGGGCACCGCCACCGCGCACACATGCCACAAACACAAAAGCGAAGTAACTCTGACATAAACAGGAGAAAAAGGAAAGCACGTCCCCAGCTAGCAGGCCCCATGCCTCGCAAAACGCAGCATCCAACGAGTGCATGTAAACGGCAGACTTACCTTTATCGGGCGGGCACATCTTGGTTTGTGTCTGCAGTGCAGCTACGTGCCAAGCATCGCTTCGTGAACACGATCCGCTTTGTCCAACCACCTTCTAAAAAACACGCAATTCAAAATAGCGCGAATGAACAAAGGCGATGTCACCCGCCAGCCGAAGCAAAAGTATGACCGCCGAAGCACGCCGAGATGGAATGCAGGAGGTGAGGAGGTCAAGTGTCCTAGCAACACGAAGGCCAGATAACGCGCGAAACGCGATCGCTATCGCGATAGGTTGTCAGTCGGATGACGTGTAACCAGTGACTGCTAATCAGGACGCGCGCTCTACTCTATTACCGCGCGCATTTTGTTTGTTTTCTTGCGCTCTACTGATAGCACTCCCTCTCCCCTTTTTGAAAAAGGAAAGGGGGGGGGGGGTGTAATGGTGCACCTGGCAACACCCTCGCCTCGCCCGCCGATTCCTTTGGGAGAGGAGGATTCGCGTGATGGGAGCACGATTACGCTCGCCGGGTATCTCCAGTCGAAGGGGGGTGTAAGGGTGCGCGATACACCCACATACACCCTTTTTTTCTGAGAGTGCATGATGTTAGCCATAAATCGCTACCTGTTACAGCCGTGGAACGGATTTGTCGCGGCTACTTCTTGCAGCAGCAAGATGTAACCCACCCCTCAGAATCACGATCGCGAAGCACACAGACCGGACTGGCGCGGCGTGGCGGCCATCTTCAATTGCGTCCCTCGCCGGCTTTCCCAGCCCTTATCCCGCCAAGACTCGTCTCACGAGACCCACGCTATCACGCCGCGCTACGCACTTCGCTATAATTTGGTCCGATAGCGTGCCTCCGCTAGCCTCCGCAGCTCCGCACTGTTTCCGCTAGCAGCGCGCATTCGCAGTAGCGTCGTCACTCTAGCGTATAGCGTAGTGGGATAGCCAAAACGATTTACTAAAACTCAATATCTTCGTCGCTGAAGATTTTGTTTTCCCGTCGGAACGGCAAAAACGGTCTTCTTTTGCAATGCTATTTGTGCAATCCTTAGCACTGCATGATGGCATCGCGTTATCGTCGAGGTCCTGGTAAAAAAGAAAACGGCAACAAAGCCGCCGCTACGCCTCGCCCAGTGATGGCGTTGGTTTCTAGCAGACCAACTAATCGCGCGGGATCATAAGAAGGCAACGGTCTCGTGTCGCGCCCGATCCAATTCGAGCGAGCGGAATGATAACTTTTCAGAGGGAAAGGGCACGCGTTAGGAGAAAGTTCTCTTCCGTATTTCAGAAAATGGTTTGCGTTACCTTTCTTTCTCGGTGGACTCTAGCGGCCCAGGTTTTAAGAGTGAGTTTCCGAACCCCAGAAAGCAACGCGCTGCCTGTCCTCGCCTCCATCTTTTCTTCGGCTACATCATGACACAAGAGAGCAAGGAATCGCCATCCCTGCGTCGTTTCCGACAGCGTGTCCCATAGTGCCTCTCCGCGCCTGTCTGCTCCCGCAGGCGGTCATTGATACACCTGCCTGTCCGGCCTATGCATTCTTCGCCGCAGGCGAACGAGATAGAGTAGACCCTTTCTTGTTTACATGGGACGAGCTGATGCCCGCGCA